CTTCTTCTCTCTTCTTTTCTCATTCTCTCTCTCTCTCTCTCTCTCTCTCTCTTCTCTCTCTCTATTCTCTCCTCTCTTCTCTCTCTCTCTCTCTCTCTCTCTCTCTCTCTCTTCTCTCTCTCTCTCTCGTTCGAAATAAATTCAAAGTATGGAGGTTTTGACTTTTTTTTGTTATTGTTTTGCATTTTTTCATTTTAAGTTATTTTTCTAACTATTTTATATCTAATGAACAACGTGTTTTGAAAAATTTCCGGCAAAGCAATGTTTCAAATGTTCAGTCAATCAGAAAATTACATATAAAGAAGTATCACGTTATTAGACTAAAAAAAAAAAAATCACATACAGCATTGCAGCCTCCCGCAATGAGAGATGGAGAGAAAAAAAAAACTTTATCAGCTACATAGATGGATTTTGAATATTTAAGCATTAGTTAGGGTTATTAGGAAGAAAACGTTCTAAAAATTCGGTAATATTACGTATAATTATCATTCCTACCTTTTTTCCGAAATCCTACAAAGCTTGCAAAAATTCATGAGAGAAATTAAAAATATATCGATTGATGATTATATTTTTTCTTTACCTCCTTCATTTCATCATAAATTCTTCCGATGATATCAATCTTTTATTCTAATACTGATTGAATGAGCAAGAAAAAAAAGAAAAGAAAAAAAAAATATATACATATAAATATATAATATACTATATATATATATATATATATATATATATATATATATATATATATATATTATATATATATAATGATAAAGAGTTTTAATGTCAGCATCATCGCCTTGACAACACTATTTCATCTCCTTCATTTCTTATCTTATCTTATCTTATCTTTCGTTTCCTTCACTGCCTTTCCAATCACGATCAATTCCAATCCCCCAAAAAACAGCCCAGTACACAATTGAAAGGATGACAGGTGAAGGAGAGAGGAAAGGAGAATTTAGGAATTACAGAACACTGACGATCCCCCCCTCCCTCCCCCCTCTCACCTCTCCTCTCCCTCCCCCCTCCCTCCCCTAATCATTCATTGCCATCCGAATCTCCGAATCATAATGAAAACCTTCAATGAAAAATATCTCAATCCAAGATTCTAATCCAAACCAAACAATTGAAATCATTCGCAAGTACAACAATAGTAATAAATACAGAAAAAAACGAACTGATACTATGTATATATAATATCATATATATATATAATATATATATACATATATACTATATTATAATATATAACACAGTGATGTGTGTGTTGCTGTGTGCGTGTGTGTGTGTGTGGTGTGTGTGGATTGGTTGGTGTGTGTGGTGTGTGGTGAGTGTGTGTGTGTGTGTGTGTGTGTGATGTGTGTGTGTGTGGTCTAGTGTGTGTGCATGTAGTTGTGGATGAATGTGGATGTGATCACATACTATACATACTATATGTATCATAGATAATACATATATACAAATAAGAACAATAGTAAATATATAAATATATTCATACATAAAATAATATATATTATATATATATATACTTCTATCTATCTATCTATCTATCTATCTATAATATATATATATATACATATAGATATATATATATATAATATATATCTTTTTATTCTATTTATTATCGTTAGAATAAAGATACGAACAACTCTTAATTCTACCACTGAATGACTCAGCGATGAAGAGAGAAAGAAAAACAGCATGTAAAACAGCAGCGAATTCCAAACCACACACACCCAAACACTTGGAACGTACTTACCGGAAAGTGCTGTCATAGCCGAGTCCAGTTGTATTTCTCTTCCCAGATCTCAATTCCTGAAAGAGAAGGAGGCGTGAGTCATGAGGAATGAGGAATCATGAGTGATGAGTGAGGTGGTTTGGAGCGTGGGTGGTGGTGTGGGATGAGGAGGGGGTTGCTAACATGATGTAACATTCTATTTTATTCTATTTATTCTATTTTATTTTTTAATGGAAGTTGTATGAATGTTAAGGTGACATTTTTTATTAAAGGGAAGTTGTATGATATTAATGTGACATATTTTTTTTAAGGGAAGTTGAGAAAGTCGAAAATCTAAGAAGATATATGGGCGGATGATTAGATGAAGGGGAAAAGTAAATTATTAATGTATGTCTACTTGTTCTTAAAGATTATGAAGACTACCTTTTTCTTCCCTTCCTCCTTTCCTTTCACTTTCCTTCCCTGCTTCTCTTATCTTACTCTCTTCTCTTCCCTCTCACTTCCCTCTTTCATTCTCATCCTCTTTCTCTATCTATCTATTTTTTTTCTCTCTCTCTCTCTCTCTCTCTCTCTCTCACTCTCTCATCTCTCTCTCTCTCTCTCTCTCTCTCTCTCTCTCTCTCTCTCTCTCTCTCTCCTCTCCCTCCTCCCTCTCCCTTCTCCCTCTCCCTCTCCTCTCCTCTCCCTCTACCATCTCCCACTGGCTCTGCCTCTGCCTCTGCTCCTCTCTCCCTCGCCTCTCCCTCTCCCTCTCTCCTCTCTCTCTACCTCTTCCCTCTCCCTCTCCTATCTTCTCCTCTCCCTCTCCCACTGCCTACTGCCTCTGCCTCTGCCTCTGCCTCTACCCTCTCCTCTCCCTCTCTCTCTCTCTCTCTCTCTCTCTCTCCCTCTCCCTCTCAGTCCCTCTCTCTCAAGCACGTTAAAAGCGCGAGAAAACACAAACACATCGCTTCCTGACTTCGCAATCCGATCAAGACCCAAGATGTGGTGTCGGATTCCGCTTCCGCACAAGGAGGCCCGTTCACGAGAAGCTAACTTGATCCTACTAAGTGGTGAGCGCCAACAAGCCTCGACGCAGGCTGGGGAATCTCTTCCGATATTAAGCGTAAAATTAGAGCTTTGGAAATTAGGTTTTAGAGGGAGGGTGGCGATGCCGAGGGAATAATAAATCCTTGGGACGAGTTGTTAGCGAGATTGACCTTAATCTTAATTTTAGTTAACCTTAATCTTAATCTTAATCTTAACCTTAATCTTAGTTTTTAGCGAGTTATAAGAAATGAGGAAGTGTGGATAAAGGATATATTGATGGATAAAGAGAAGGGGTGATTGGATTATCGAATCTGACACACAAATTAAAGTATGCGTGAATTAATTCGAGTTGTACTTAATCTAGAGTTTGCCCTCAATTCTAAAAGGTAAAAAAAAACTCTTGAGTAAATTAGATATTTAGATATCTGTGCCTTTAGAATAGTTTTAAGTCAATAATTGGCTATTGTGTGAAACGGCTGGCAAGACTTAACACTAAACATGTGAACAAAAAGCACACAGAATTATTAAAGTTTTGATATAAATAGTATGTCTGTTATTGGAACGTATACTACTGTTTACACGTTAAATCATATACTATTATCCTCGTTATTGCGATTATCAACTACTTAGTTAAGCATCCGCCAAACACACCACATGCATGATAACATAGCATACCATATATTTATATATTAAGTAGCATATATATATTTAATGAATAGTTAAATACACTATAACTATATAATTATATTATAAGACCATCACGCACACACACAACAAGTGGCGCTAGACCTATGTTCGGAGATGCGATGAATAGTTGAAATGCCGGTCCACACACACACTACATTGATAAAATATGGCTCACACACACACATCACACACACGCACAGTTCACGCGATTTTTACGGCATCACACATATATATAATATATAATATATAATATAATATATATTATATATATATATATATATATATATATACCAGATATAACAATAATAGTACACACACAATATATACATGCTACATATATCTATATCTGTCCTTTCTCATCTCTCTCTCCTTCCATCTCTCTCTCACTCATCTCTCTCTCTCTATCTCTATATATATATATATATAATATATATATAATATATATTTATATAATATATAATATTGCACCACAACATTGTCTAGTGTGACACCCACATCCGTACGAGCGCGCATGCGTGGGCGCTTCCCCGTGCAAGACTTACGTTGAGTCGTTGGGCCCGAGCACCGGCTGCAATCGATGGTCGTCTGTGCTGAAAGGAGAGGGGTCCCGTTAGGCGTTTGAGTCTTTT